GGGACCGAGGGTGTGACAGGGACCGAGAGTGTGACAGGGACCAAGGGTTTGGCAGGGACCGAAGGTGTGGCAGGACCGAGGGTGTGAGGCTGTGGCAGTGTTACCGAGAATGGATAGGTATGGTAGGGACCGAGGGTGTGAGAGTGTGGCAGGGTGACCGAGGGTGTAGCCTGGTGACCGATGATGTGGTAGCGTTACCGAGGGTGTGGCAGAGTGATTGAGGGTTTGGCTAGGTGACTGAGGATGTAAAAGGTGTGACTGAAGACGTGGCAGGGTGATTAAGGGTGTAAATGTTGACAGAGGGTATGACAGGATTACTGAGGGTGTGGCAGGGTGACCGAGGATGTGGCAAGATTACTGAGGGTGTGGCAGGATTGCCGGGAGTATGGCAGAATGGGTGAGGATGTAAAAGGGTGACCGAGGATGTAAAAGGGTGACCGAGGATGTAAAAGGGTGACCGAGGGTGTAAGGGTGACCGAGGATGTAAAAGAGGTGACCGAGGATGTAAAAGGGTGACCGAGATGTAAAAAGAGGTGACCGAGGGTGTAAAGGGTGACCGGATGTAAAGGGTGACCGGAATCCATAAGGGTGACAAGGGATGTAAAGGAGTGACCGAGGATGTAAAAAGGGTGACCGAGGATATAGAGGTGACCGAGGATGTAAAAGGGTGACCGAGGATGTAAAAGGGTGACCGAGGATGTAAAAGGGTGACCGAGGATGTGACAGGGTGACCGAGGGTGACCAAGGGTGTGACACAGTAAACGAGGGTGTAGTGAGGAACTAGGTGTTGTGAAGAATGAACTTCATCATCAGAGCTCCTGCTGACTAAGATACGAGAATACAAGCAATTGTCAACAAACTTACTGCAGAAACATACATTCTGACTTAATTTCTTTAACTATTTCGTTATTACCTAATTTCTTTATTAGAAAAGGCTATATCATTAAAACAGCCATTATCTGGGAACTGATCACCTGAAATTCAGTATTATTCATTCTTATTAACATGAAATCGTCAACAAACATCTCTTTATTCTCATATACCCATTTACTGTCAAAGGAAAGATTAAAAATTATTAATATCTACTCATATTTACATCATCTCATCATCATGGAAGGCTATGGTGTGTTATAACCATTCACTCCTCCCAGGGCAAGAATGGACATCAGTAGGTACACACCCGGGTGTTTACCTCTACCTACACACACTCGCTAAGGCATTGGTTGGGAGACAATACTAACCTGTAGGGCGGCTTTGAGGAAGTGATTTGTGTCCTGCATTGTGGATCCTGGATTCCTGCAAAATAAGGAAAGATTGGTCAACTTATTTTCATAAAGTATCAAAATTATGCCGTGCTCTTGAGAAAAATTACGGGTGAATCAGAGTGGGATATCGTTGCCTTTCTAACAATATATTCTTTGTGTGTAATTGCAACTGCGAAGATCGATAGGGAGGTGAAAAGTATTCAGCAAGGTCAGTTATATACGCTATGGAACAGTTCTGACATAAAAATGTGGTGAGAGGAGTGTTGGTAGAACACGTTCAGATGTTCTGTTAGTTGTTGTAAAGCGTCGCTTGGGTTTATAGCAACAAAACCGAAGTTAATCGCCTTGTACGTCTGTCTTAGGATGCTTTACTACACGGTCCAGAGCTGTGCATTGGCTCACAAATTAACGACTGGCTGGTATAAGACAAACTCACGCACATATTTAAGGAATCACAAACAAACTGACACATAGATACAGACCAAACATAGTCATTTTTACACCTCTCTCTTGTGCTTATCTGTGCAAATAAAATTGGTTCCTACCCCCCCCACACACACACATTTACTTACGTTTATAGTGATACACCGTGGGCCGGTGGAGACGTTGTTCCTGGTTATGAAAGGGTGCGGATTTGAAGCCGACGGCGTTGATGCCACTTCATGTGGCTGTATAGGTCGATGCTGGAGCTGTAGTTTTTGCCGCAGGTGGGGCAAGGGTGTTGTGGGTCAGGAGGGGCGGCTCCTGCAGCACGTTGATGTTGTCTAGACCTCTTGATCAATTGAACAGGATGATGCTAGTTGCTACCGGGGTAAAAAGCTGCACAACTTTAAGAGGTTGGGCGTCGATGGTGAAGACTGGTATGTCAGGGGGGAGGCACGCGTACTGTGCAAGTACTTTTGTCTTCCCGGTGTTAACTTTGAGACCCTGAGGCTTTATAATTGGCCGAGATCACCATCTGCTGAACTTGTGTTCTGGTGCGGGCTTGGAAGCGCCGTAGGTTAAAAAGGCTACCGTCTAGCCGGTATTATATGCGGACACCGTTGTATTCATTAAAGATGTCGTACGAGAGGAGGGTTACTGCTACAAGGAACATGTTGAAGATGGTAGAGACAAAGTTACGTTCCTGCTTCACACCGACACCGATACTGAAGGGGTAAGACACTCCTCCCGCCAGAGCTTTAGCGCTCATGCCGTTTTGGAATTGTTGGACGTTGTTACTGAATTTAGACAGCACTACGAACTTCTGTAGCAGTAGCCAGAGGAGTTCACGGGTGACAGTGTTGAAGGTCTTGGTCAACTCAATAAACGTGAAGAAAATATCTTTGTTTTCTTCGTGGCATTTCTCTTGGATCTGCCTTGCGATATAGATTATGCCAACGGTGTTGCAATCTGTTCTAAATCCATATTGAGTCTCTGGGGGTATTTTCAATAATGAGTTCCTGCCAGTCGGTGCAGTACCTGTCTGGCCAGCACCTTGCCACCGACCGCCGAGAGGGATATCCCCGACTATTATCGCAGTCAGCGTTGTCTCTCCTTGTAGATGGTCACTGTATTAGCATCTTTCCATCCATGGGGGATTACTTCAGTTCTACAGATGGTTGCAATCAATAAGAAAAAACGCTGGGAGAGTAAAATAAAAAAACTTCTTATTAGTTGTTTTTGAGATCCTTAATGGCGCCGGGGACCTCCTAAAACTAAGGTGGGCCATCGACGGTAGGTTGGTGGTGTATGTGGCAGGTCATTCAACACTTCAGGTTCAGTTGGGTTGCCCTGAATGAAAAGGTTGCTAATATGCTTCGCCCACCTGTCCAGGGCGCCGACCACACACACACACACACACTGAAACAAGCGCAACATGCTCACTAACAATAGCCAGAACTGTGCCAAACTGGTCTACAGATAAATTACCAGACACGCACGCACAGAAGGCGAGGGATAGCATTAATCTGTGTACCTGTTGACGTTATGAAATCATACAGGCAAGAAGGGAAGGAGAGTCCAATATATATATATATATATATATATATATATATATATATATATATATATATATATATATATATATATATATATATATATATATATATATATATATATATATATATATATATATATATATATAGATTGGTAGGTCGTTAGGTAGGTAGGTAAGTAGGTAGGTAGGTAGGTAGGTAGGTTGGTAGATAGGTAGCTCGGTCGGTAGGTTGGTAGATAGGTAGCTCGGTCGGTAGGTAGGTAGCTCGGTTGGTAGGTAGGTCGGTAGGTCTCGGTCGGTAGGTAAAGGTAGGTCGGTGATACAAGTTCACACTGGTTCAGCAGGTACTGTACACATACAGAGTGCAGGTATACAAACAATGGTCGAGTGTTATCAAGGACATCTAATTTGAATTACTGTTTACCGTTGTCTACATACCTGACCTCCGTGTACATGCTTAACCCCTTCTGTAAGGGGACGTCACTTTTAATATTCGATTTGGCTATCCCCAGAGGGGAACCCGTACACTAGGAGATATACTCAGTGCTACTCTAACATATGTGCATAAAACATTATCAACAAAGAAACGCACACACACGAAGCTCAGCCTCACCAAAGGATAAAGTAATCGTATTTTTGTTATGAACTTTGGTGACGTGTTGCAATAGTCTGATATTTATGTCTAGGTGACATGTCCTCCTGCTCAATGACGTAAATCGTTAGTTCATTTTACATTAGTCTTCGTTCATTGGTGATCCATTTTTTCGTTTCCTGTTATACCAGCTTTTTTATGGCTACAAAACTCTCATAAACCTTTTTTTGTTCATTTATTTATCTTTTAGGTTTATGTTCTTGTCTTCTAAATGAGAACTCGACCTCTTTTTTTAACTGTTACTACACGCTTCTTTATGGTCATCTACTGTACATGTTCCCGTTTTCTAGTGATTACAACTACGAGTGACTCTTCCATTATATTCTTCTGAGCTCCACTATTCTCTGATACCTAACTTTTTTGTAACATTAAATGAATGGGGGAGATAATATTCCCCCCTGCATTTAATTTTTTTAAATTTGTATTGTATTTTTAGATATACTTTGTCTTATTCTACGCATACATACAGTCCTGTTAGGAGTTATTCCCTGTAATTTTTAAACCTTGTCTCCTTTAATTATTTATATATTCTCTTCCTGTACATTCGGAATTTATCATTGTATTTTGGAAAGCTTGACTTAATCTTGCTCAAGGTGAATGGAACAATGTGTGTGTGTGTGTGTGTGTGTGTGTGTGCGCTCGTTGACGAAGGTGTGTGTCTTCCTGGTGGGCAGTAAGTGAGGGAGGGAGGGAGGGAGAAAGCAGGGCGGGAGACCGTAGTCGTGTTCTTGGGTCGTTTGGACCTCCACCTGCTTCCTCTCTCACCACTGTTTGCCTCTCCCTTTCTCCCCTGCCATACACTGATGTCAATGTTCATCACTGACGGTAACTTAAGCGGTGACTATAAAAGATCAATGTCGACCCCAGCTTCAAACGCTTCCATCAAGTTATCGCTGACAAGTTTAAACAATAACGTCAGGTCTCGCAAACTAATGAACTTTTTATAGCAAGTATCCCCCAAAATTCCAGAATCTGGACCACGAACGTAAAATGTTATTGGTAGCACAGCGTATAATAAAAAGACAATGATAATTTTATACATCACTTTCTTCTCCACGAAGCAAATGTCTTCCTGTGTATTGATATTTTTATTTTTATTCAGTTTTATTCAAGATCTGCGGCGTTACTTGTTTCAGTATCAGAGAGTTACTTCATGTGTTTCGTCAGCAATAACGTGTCTGGTCTCAGTGTCACGTGTGTCTGACACACGTTTATCGCAATATGATATTATCATTTTATTGTAATAAGGAAGTATCGACCGAGAATATTTTGTGTCAAGAAAGTAAGAATGGTGACTGGCAGAGTTTATCTCAAGGAGGATTGAAAATAGTAACCAAGAAGGTTTTTAAGTCAAGTGACAGTGAATCTTCGATCACAAGACGAAAATAACATTATGTCTATTGTAACACGAGATTATCGAGTGGCGTGATTTTGCAACACACCAGAAAGCGAAACAAGGAACCCGAAATCGAGTGAATTTGCGTCATCACCTGAGTCGCAGTAGAGACGCGCCCTCCACCGCCAGCCTTGACCTTGACACACAAGTGGAGGTGAGTGTGGAAGGGGCATAGGCACACACTCCACCCCCTCCCCCAAAAGAAAAAAAAAAAAAAACATCAGTTTCAAGCTCCAAATCAAAACAATGTTACTGGATTAACAGTCTCGGTACAGGGAAGAGGACAAGTAGTGAGATGATAGCCAATGAAATGTTAAGTCTTCACCCCGCCAGATATCGCTCGTAAACAAATAATTTTAAATTTCAAAACAAAATATATTATTACACCGCAGTCCACAGGAACAGTAATAGATGACTTTCAGTTCATATCTTGTTCTATTTTTCCTTGAGATAAACTCACACAAAAATATATTCTCGATATCCTAACTTGTCGTTTTGAATCAAAACACGTTATAATGTATTGTTAAACTAAGTAAGATCTCACTCACAAATAAATTAGAGATATTGTTTTGCTGGCAACAAGAAAGAAGTGTTGTATCCTGTTTGACGTGCTGCCGGGGTCCAGGTTCACACAGATTCATACTTTGTATTTGTTCCTCTTCTAGGAGGTCAGAGAACGTGTTTACTGAAGCTACAGTTCCTGTGTAATTTTGACCCCTTCTTGAATACCATAGTCGTGTCGTAGCTGAAGTGAATGGTTAGATACGATCTCATTCCTGCTGATAAGGAGGAAATTTAGCTTACGAACCTTTCGACTGGAAGGTGGCGCGTTGTGGCTCGAGAGTGCGTGTGTGTATATGTATGTGTATGTGTGTGTGTGTGTGTGTGTGTGTGTGTGTAGGGGACTTCCCGGACACCCGATAAGCTAGTTAAAATATCAGGCAGTTGTTGAGCTTCCCAGTCCACCTACGCCATAGTTATATGCGGGTATACCAGTAGGTTCCAGATGTCAAATCAAAATGCTAAAATTTCATGCATAAGCCGTCTGTGATGCGTGAATTTAATATTATTAACTGTAAGTTAGGAGTAAATTGTCCTTCATTTTAAAACACCCCTAAAAGTGTTTATATGTGAGGTTGTTGATATTAAATCAATGAAAACAAGTAAATTGTATACTGAATACCAGTGTGTTGATGATCGGAGACTGTGTGTGCGTGTGTGTGTGTGTAGCGGGAGTGGACAGGGAATGCTTTTTTGTGCGTAGTCACGAAGGCCACTAGCAACCCAACCTGAGAGACTCCCACACCTCTTAAAGTATAATTAAGCGGTGAGAATCTGACGCAGGTTCAAGCAACATTATATCTGTTTGAAAGTTTTCCATATACAGTATATACACTACTGTATATGAACAGCAATTTTTATTCTAGGGATCTTTTATCACTGACGAGACACATGTTGCAACAGAGGTCCCAGGCTAAGAATTTACCACTACAGTGATGTTTTATGTGGTAAAGCATTTTATAGGTGGCATGAGGGAAATATGTACACTACTTGTTAAATAAAGTTGTTTTATATTTGCTGCTGGTAATTCTCTCTCTCTCTCATATACTGTATATATATATATATATATATATATATATATATATATATATATATATATATATATATATATATATATATATATATATATATATATATATATATATATATATAGAAACAGTATACACTATAAAAGTCACCAAAGCAAAAGAAAACTTCCACAGTCATCTTCCCTGGGGGCAGACGTCTTGATCACTCTGCAGGGATCACGTACACCACCGAGTCCAGCTCCTCAGAATTCCCTCAGGACGAGCGCCTCTGCTTGGAGCATCGATATACGTGCAATGCTGTTTTGGATACCAAACTCAGCAGCACTAATAAATATTCTAAAAAATTCCTGGATGAACTAAAATTAATAAATGAACAATGTAGGAGTTGTGTCAACAAGGAAGACGATACAGTATTAAGAATCCTTCCAAGTGGGTCGCGTTTTTTGTCAAGCTCACGCGGCTATAAATTTTCAACTTGTCCGTCCTGAGTTGGGTATAAAATTATTCTTATGTCGACAGTGAAGAAAAGTTTTGATCAAGTCAGGTTAAGGTTCTTTCGATAGCCTGACCTAACTGAAATGTATAATATTACTGTATACTGAATATGATGAATTTAGTTGTTATTAAAAAAAAAAAGAGCCCTCGTCGATGGAGTACTAGGAGCTTCGTCGAAGGAGTACTAACGAAGGAGTATTCTTCGACGAAGCTCCTAGCACTCCATCGACGAGGCTCTTAGTTCTCTGTCGACGAGGCTCTTAGTACTCCGTCGACGAGGCTCTTAGTACTCCGTCGACGAAACTCTTAGTACTCCGTCGACGAAACTCTTAGTACTCCGTCGACGAAACTCTTAGTACTCCGTCGACGAAACTCTTAGTACTCCGTCGACGAAACTCTTAATACTCCGTCGACGAAACTCTTAATACTCCGTCGACGAAACTCTTAGTACTCCGTGGGCGAGGCTGTTAGTACTCCGTGGGCGAGGCTCTTAGTACTCCGTCGACGAAACTCTTAGTACTCCGTCGACGAAACTCTTAATACTCCGTCGACGAAACTCTTAGTACTCCGTGGGCGAGGCTGTTAGTACTCCGTGGGCGAGGCTGTTAGTACTCCGTCGATAAATTCTTAGTACTTCGTAGAAGAGGCTCCTAGCACTCCGTGGACGAGGCTCTTAGTACTCCGTGGGCGAGGCTGTTAGTACTCCGTCGATAAATTCTTAGTACTTCGTAGAAGAGGCTCCTAGCACTCCGTGGACGAGGTTTGTATTGAGCCTTATTTACTAAATTCCAAGCTGGGCTAAACTTGACCTAACTTCTGGTTAAATCCATCGTAACAAACATAACTTCAACTAAAACATAAGCTAATCTAACCTTCACATAAATACTAATTACGAAACTATTTATCTTTCTTTGCTACATCTGGGTACAAGATAAGTTCTGATTGTAGGTTAAAGTTGTATTGTGACAATCCGTGTACTTATTGCACCTTATATAGGCAGTGCACCTCCGAAGACAAACTCATATTAGAAGTTACTGAAATTTGCAGCTTTATTAATTTGTGAGTGTGTATATTTTATGAAAACATATTTAAAATGCCCCATGCAAGTGTTTTCAGCAGCAATTATATAAGATATTAGCTTACTGCCCTGTGTTTTTTCTGAATGCTTGCCACATGTTTTTAAACAGACACGTACTGTATAATGTTGTCATATAGTGAAGGTGGGCGAGGTGGTGGCGCCAGAAAAGACATAAACACACAAGTGATAGTTTCCTGCTATTATTATTTCTCAACTTCCCGAGACGCAAAGAGCTGCACCATAATCATAACTAAGAGGTTTACTAATTCACTCGTTGGTCTAGAAAACCTTGAAAGTCATATAGGTTTAAAAATTAGCAGGTAACACGCCCAGCATATAAAAAAAGATTCCTCGTATCCTTGGATCGCGGGCCCCATTGTGTTCTCTTAGGTTACCAAAGGGACAGTTTATGGCGCTGACTAATTTAGGTGGAGTCCCTTGTGGTGTCAGTACTCGGGCGGGTGTAAATTTAGTTTCTTCAGCGTTTTGCCATCACGATTACGTAAGTGAAGAACAGGTAATAAAGTTCTTGTGATTTTTTAACAGTAGTAAAACTGTTCGCGCCACGTCACTTTGAAAAATTCCAGCGCCTCAATTTGTTTCGCTACCATGAAGTTGCCTGTTGGTCGTTATTTGTTACAGCTTCGTGTTTTGACGCTAAGTAAACTTACGCTGGTTAGAGATTTTCATGGATCTGGGAGACATAATAATGATCTGTAATAAGACTTAAACGTGTTATCTTATTACGAAAGAGTCTCGATTCGTGACTCATTACAACCACAACTTGAGTTGCCGGTGTTTCCTTGTGAACAAATAAATATATTTGTAAAGAAACACAGTTAGATAGATTAACAAGTAGACCTCTACATGCTACGCGCTCTGGCCACACAAGTTGTGACAAAATTCATCGCCAGAGAGACATGTGAATTCTTCTACACATATTCACTCCAAACACCTGCAGTACGAGATTGTAAGAGAGGATTAATGGTAACTACTACATCGCTTTTATTCATGAAGAAGTTACCTATAAATTATCTAAAAACCTAAAAACTGAGAAGCTTAACCCTGCCAATGTAACCAAGACGAAGTCATCTGATAGGCAGTGATTTAACAGATGTTCGTTGCAAGATACAGTAATGTACACGACATGGATGTAGTGTAGCAGTGTGAGGTGTTTTAACAGCTGCACAACAGGTCACAATCAATACACACTACATAGTAGTAAAAATACAACGCGGTGAAATTGTAGAACTTCACTCTATGGGGTATATAACCTACATGGGATCTACAATATAATGCCCAGGCGAATGTTTAATACAGTATACAGAGTAATGGGGACAGCGAATTTTTGTCAACTTCATAATTGTATTTCAATAAGACAATGGCTTACGTGCTAGATAAGGCCACCAAGACAGCCTTGGCTTACAGTTTTGGTGATAAAAACCAACTGCACACTGTAGCGTAAAGTAAATTGTTTGCTCGGGATAAGAAGCTATATTTTTTGTGGGAGAATAAATCCAGCTGACAAAGAGAGTACGTCACCAACAGTTATATCCTCTTATCTACTTCCATTACTTCTCTATCATTCATCATCCTCTTCACCCATTCTTTCGTTCCTCACAGATCTGTATATTGCGAATGGAAAACTCACAACTCCGCCCTCACAAGTCTCACTCCACAGCTCCTTATCCCTTCCCTCTCAAACCATACTCCCTTTCAGCCCTTTCTACCTCCACGCTGTCACTCGTTTACACCTCGACCTTTCAATGTACACTTCTTGTTGACATTAACGAGATGACGTCATGCACTCCGCCAAGGCTCTCTGCTGCCTCCCTCGTCCTCTGTGCTCTACATTATGGCGACACAACCTCATCGGGACATCACTAACACTTTCAGTTATTCTTAGTAAATTAATAAAGCTTTCTATTTGACACGTTTTAGTCGGGTTTATTTGAGGGTTAATTTACAAAGTACAGTAGCCTGTTGATTAGTTGTGACAATTCTCCCCAGTAACATAAAAAGTAAATAGCTCTTTTTTTCACATATCCAATGCAAGAAGTACTAAAATTCGTTTCCACACAAATTTGTACAAATTACGATATTTTTTTGAACCTGTGTAAATGGTGTGAATAATCTAGTTTGAAGATGTGTGAGATTCATCTAAGATTATATTATACAACCACGTACACGTATTACTTCCCGGTTTGTATTTCTATTTTGTATTATAATTAAAATCCCACGATGAGAATATTCTTCTGTTTGTGTGCGTACTGAATTTGGAAATTGTGAGGGCGGGAAAACAAAGCTAAAATCGCACTTATGTTCACACTACAAAGAGTTCACTAACGCCAAATAATTTTTCTTTCCAAACACCACAATAAATCGAGGATAATTGTCTCGAACACGTGCTTCCTCAAGACCCACCGTCAATGTACAGTATCCGGGTGACTGGTGCAGAAGCGGTGCACACCCCACTGACGCTCCAGCAACACTAAACACCTTAGCCTCAGCAACAGGTGGCTGGGGAGGGCAGGGCAGTGGAGAGAGGGAGGGAGGGAGTGTGGAAGACACAGTAGGTTCCCCGCTCTCACCTGAGGTGCACCTACGGTGCTCACCTGAGGAGCCTGCCAGATATAATTCCTTGAATTAAGGTTTTGGAAATATCAGTAATATCAGGACAGGTGGCGTTTTTTTTCGGGCAATTCACTCACCTCACCTCGTCTGCCTTCACTATGTCTAAGCTCCAGTTTTAGACAAGGTGTACCACCACCCCTCAAGAGCCATGACTTCTGACATTAACGTCCAAAACGCTACCACTTACGGTACTTTGCTTCGGTTGCTCCTGATCTTAAGGCCTAAGATTATCAAAAAGTGATTCGATATATCTTTATCGTAAAAGGAAATCAACAGAGTGGTTAGAAATGAGGAAAAATGGTGAAATATCTGGCGGATTTTAGGGGAGTTGAACCAAGGATGTTGCGAGGAGTGAGAATGAGAGGACGAGTTTTTGTGGCGTTGAGCAGCAAAGGTCGCCAGGTTGGGGGCTCCTTCCTAATAGTTTTTGTCGAGTCTGAGTTGAAATTGGAGGCTGAAAATCGAGGATGAATGGAGCAGAACGACCTCAGCTGCTGTCGTTGTTTTGGCCAGACGCTAACAGTTGATAAACACAGAGGAAAGTTATGTTTCTTCAGATATTAATGTATTTAAAACAGCATTAATTTAATGAATCGAGTGCAAGCTTAGTTAAAGATAAACTTAAAGTTAAATATCTTCATAAACACTTAATTAGCTATAAATGTTCTCACACATTGACACACTCAGTTCTTTTCACATTTAAGAATGAATGACACTCACACTTACCACACTGTTACATCGGTCCCACTTACACCCACGAGACACTAACACACTCATTGTCACTTATATTTACGACACGCTTACGAACATCAGTCCCACTCACCCTACGACAGCCTGACACACTCAGTCCTACTCACACTTACGACACGCTGACACACTCACACTGAAAACACAGCCAAGCCCACCCACACTTTTGACACCTCCAATGAAAATCCAGAAGCTGACGCACTTAAGGGGGAACACCCAGCTGGGGTCGTGGCTTGAATTAACTTGCTCTCGCTTTCACTCTACCTGTGACCTACCTCCTGCCCGCACCTGTACTCTTTAATCTCATGTATTGTGATACAGTTTATTCCACAATAAAGCAGCAAATACTAGGAGTAGTACAGTGACAGTGGGTCCTGGAGGTCTGACAGTCATTTGGGGCAGTATGGATACAGCACACTGTAGACTAAGTCTTTGTTCGGAAGACAAGCAGGCTGTGTGACCGCCACTACCCTCAACCGTCTTAACTTTTCCATCTGTTAAGGTTGGTCCCCATTAACAGCTGGGTGGTCTGGGGTAGCGAGCACTGAATCTAATAGGTCGCTGTTCACCAAATTATTACCTTAATAACCTGTTAATTCACAAATATTTTCACCACATGATCAAAGACAGTGTAATGTCTAAAACTTAAATAGTACAAAAAGTTTTCTTTTCGGTAGATTAACTTCTTGCTCTCTGCAGGTGTTTTAACATTATTTCTCCGGCGGCTCCTGTGTGGCCGCCTTCCGGGCCTCTCAGGTGGTGCTCATTAACATGGCTTTATTTCTTAAATATAATGTTTTAATTGCTATTTAAGTCATATTAAGGTGTCATATCAGAGGTTTAAGGTTGGCATAATGTTGGTTTTGGAACCTGTATGTGTGTGTGTGTGTGTGTGTGTGTGTGTGTGTGTGTGTGTGTGTGTGTGTGTGTGTGTGTGTGTGTGTGTGTGTGTGTGTGAAACTTAAACAGGATAAATAAATAAATAAATAAAAAAATATATATTGAAGTGATAAGCGTGGTAACATTATGAGATGTTCTTATTACCACCATGCTATTGTACTATTTCAGATGATACTAAATATTACATAATACTTCCTCGAGATAAATGTAGTATATATCAGGTGTCTAAAAGAGAGCTCAGGTTCTCAACTGGCTCAGCCATGTTAATATTGTTATTATTATCCACTCTGCATCTGTGTTTTCTGGCTAAATAAACTGTTTCAATTCAATTTAATTCAATTCACTCGTCTGTTGCCATAGGACTTTTGGGGGTATATGGGTTTTGATGATGATGAGGAGTATGATGAGCTGGATGATGGCTGAGCGTGAGTTGATTTATGTGGTGAGGCAGGAGTGCAGGCTGCAAGAGCACATCTTGGTTCTCCCGTTTTCTGATCCAGTGGTGCAAGTGTTGCAACGACTGGGGAGAGGGATATATACAATGGACTGCCGATAGCCCAGTTTGTTGGGTTTTGCCTGAGTAGCCTGTCTCAGTGTCGCTCATGCATTGCCTTCGTCCGCCGGTGTAGTCGTTGGGTTTCCACGGTGTTCACCTCTTCCGCCGTTGGGGTCGTGTTGCAGCTCTCTAAGCATGTCTGCCTGATGCGGGGCTCCACCACAGATTTTTCGTTTGATGTTTTCTCCCGGAGCCTTATACCTACCAAGGTTAATCCGTAAGGCAGTGGGGCAGTGGTTGGTAGGCGCCAGGACGTGTCCTCATACTAGTGAGCCTATGCACTGTCCCTCTGGGGCCCACTGCTTGTCCGAGATCCTCTGCTGGTCTAGCCTGGGCCCACGAAGCACCCAGTTACTGTGTGTTGCCACGGGAGGCACAGCAGGAATCTTGGTGGTGAAGAGGTTGTCTACTGGCAGGGAAAGACTTATTGAAGTTGCCTCCCTGTTCGCCACGAGGGCTAGCCGGCGGCCGTAGCTGAAAGCGAGAGGAAGCACGTAGTGCTTGCACCTTAACACTAATATAATGCTGCCACACTAGACGCATTACACCACCTTGTCTGTATGACACACACACACACATACACACCTCCTACTACCACCCGAGATCCCTCGCCCGAGAATTGCTGTTCGACACCTCAAACGCATCCAACCCATACGAGCAGGAACTGATCGCTATAAGAACAGCCCAGTCCCAACCATTGTAAAAATTACACTGGTCAACATAAAAAAAAATTCTCATGGTTCTGGATCAAAACAGTCTGATTCTAGTGTAATTGTATGTGCTGAACTCAATTATGACATTCGTATAGCTGTATCAGGCTCAGTTTTCCAGAACCAGCATATCTATATATTTAGTGTACCATGCTATTCATACAGTAATTTATATGCTCATTGGCTCCACTTATGCAATTATTTTGTCCTGATTTGTGCTTTTTTGTTTGTTTCAGTTTGCTGATTCATGATATTGCATATCTACACCTGCATGATTTGTAATTACTCTGAAATTAACAAAACATGGAACGTCGCAAGTGTGTGAACGGTGCTGACAGTTTTTGCTACATATGTGGTGCCTTCACTCCTGGTAGCCTCAAGAAACCAATCACAAAAGCTGTTCGACTGAACTACAAAAGTTACTTCAAATGTCATTTGGGTGACCAAGACAAGAAATGGGCACCTCATGTAGCCTGTAAGTCTTGTGTTAACCACCTGAGCGAGTGGATGTGTGGTAAACGAAGTTCAGGAATGCCGTTTGCTGTACCAATGATATGGCGTGAACCTAAAGACCACAGTAGTGACTGCTACTTCTGTCTCACAAATATTAAGGGAATAAAAATCAAGACACGAGGCAAGGTACAGTACCCCAATATTGCTTCTGCAATCCGACCAGTACCGCACAGTGCTGAACTTCCAGTCCCAAATCCACCGACTGAACAAGAATTGAGTGATTCCGATTCTACCTCTACCTCAATGGAAAACGACTACCAGGATGACTCTGAAAATACCAGGCCTAAACTATTTACTCAAGAAGCGCTTCATGATCTCATCAGGGACCTAAACTTGTCAAAAGAAAAGGCTGAAGTTTTGGGATCCAGACTAAAGCAGCGTAACCTGCTAGAAGATGGAGTGCATATCACTACAGCGCGTTACCGACATAGACAGCTGTCTGCATTTTTCAAGATGGCAAACAACCTTTGTTATTGCGAGGACGCAGTATCTCTCATGCAACAACTCTGCAAGTCTGAAACATACAAGACAGAGGATTGGAGGCTGTTTATAGACTCAGGAAAAGACTCTCTGAAAGCTGTTCTTTTACACAATGGCAATCGGCTTCCATCTGTCCCAATAGCACACGCAACAAAAATGACTGAGAGCTATGAAACAATGAAAATTCTGTTGGCCGCTATAGAGTATGAGAAACACCAGTGGAAGATATGTGGCGATCTCAAAGTCATCAGTTTACTACTGGGCCTTCAGAGTGGCTACACAAAGCACATGTGCTTTTTGTGCTTGTGGAACAGCAGAGCTGATGCAGAGCACTATGTGAGAAAGGATTGGCCGACAAGACCAAGAGATGCGCCTGGAAGGTTTAACTGTGCTCACAATCCGCTTGTAGATCCAGAAAAGATATTTTTGCCTCCACTGCATCTAAAGCTCGGTTTGGCTAAAAATTTCATCAAAGCTATGGATCAATTCGGTGCTGGGACTCTATACTTATCTCAGAAACTAGGTGGTGTGGTTTCCGAAGCCAAGTTGAAAGCAGGTGTCTTGAATGGACCACAAATTCGTATACTAGTTAATGATAGCGAATTCACCAAAACATTGAACCCACTGGAGAAAAAAGCATGGGAATCATTTGTCAATATGTCAAAGAATTTTCTTGGAAACTATCGTGCTGACAACTACAAAGAAATCGTAACAACCATGCTTCAGAATTATCATGCATTGGGAGCAAAGATGTCCTTGAAATTGCATTTTTTCCACTCTCATATTGAATTTTTCCCAGGTAACCTTGGAGACGTTAGTGATGAACACGGCGAAAGATTTCATCAAGATATCGCCATAATGGAGAGCAGATATCAGGGACAATTCAGTCCTAACATGATGGGCGACTATTGCTGGACACTGCAACGAGAAGAGAGCAAGCTGTACAAGAGAAAGAGTAAAGTTCAGAAGCACTTTTAGAACTTCATATTTTGTCATTATAAAGGATTTGAACTT